CCTTTGGGGTAGGGAAGGCGGAGGGAACTTGTTACCACAGGTTTGGATCCCAAAGAAATGTCTCGCTCCGACTTAGAAGCGGCGCAATGGGAAACTGAAGTGTCTTTGGGAAGTTCTGACTCGACTGAAGAAGTGTCTGTGTTACTGTGGTCTGAACCCCTTAAACGAGAGCAGTATTGACGATTCCACTATAAGTTTAGCCTGAGGAACATAATTACATTGTTTCGCCAGCGATAAGTGCTTTAGTTACATTCCCTGAGCGTGATTGAAAGACGCCTTGCTTCCTAAGAGAAAGCTCTTGGAGAATTTAGGCTTCGTTGTAAATTTCTTACATGTTTTTGGTCACCCCAGGAAATCTGCATTTCTGGATACTTATTAACTAACCCGAATCTGAGACTTTTTTTTTTTTTTAAAGCCAAAGCAAAGTCCATAACCAACCATAAATATTGGTCCAGGAAATTTGATAATGGCTCTTGCTTTTTAACAAAATTTTTCATTTTTAGGGAAAACATTTACCTGTACGGAGAAAATTGACTTGGGCACTTCTCCCCTGTATTGATAATTTATCACCAAACTTATTGATACCTGCGTTTTTAATTTAAGGGTGAAAAGGTACCATTTTCATTGGTGGTATGGAGGGGTAGCAAATACAGATTTTTGTGCTCCCTGCCAAAACCTAAAAGATAAGGGTATTCATTTTCCAGGATACCGATTTTGGTTTTTTAATTGTCAAGTTCTTATGTGGTAAAATTGCATATTTACCTGTAACTTGATTTGTGAGAGTACTTCTTAGAAGAGTCAGCTAGCCCAGTTAGAACAAGTCAGTGACCCCTACTTCTTCATTAAAAATTGTGGATTCATTTCTTGGCTTTGGATGAATTTAGATTATTAATTGCAGTTTTGATTTGTGAGTCTTGAAGTGAGTTTCTATTTTGAGGGTTCTCATACTAAAGACTAAGAGCTGTTTCTCTTGGGCCACTGTTTCCCCAAAAAAGAGGAGTGTGTAGTGTGTGTGTGTTGTTCTCTGAGCTCTGGGCTGAGATCAGTTCTTTGCAGGTGTCTTTAGCTCCAGCAAGCTGATCCCATGTGGTCTACTTGTATTGGGCTTGTCCCCTAAGCAAAGTTATCCAGTAAATTGCTATAATTCCCAAAGACTTCATGGGAGGAAGGCAGCTGTAAAGCTCAGTCGTTGGCAAGCCTTGCAGCGTTAGAAATTTGAAGCTCACTGTAGTATTTTTGTTTTGTGTGATCTTTGTCCTACTGATCGCCATGTGACTCACTTTCTGCACTCCCTTCTCTTTTGCATGTTTTCTCCTCATCTGGACTTCTGAGGACAGCTGGGAATGGTGAGGAAGAAATTCTGCCCCACTGTAACTTGCAGGTTTTTACGTACACCTGTGATGTGGGGAAGAGGGAGAATGTCTACCTGACGGCTGAAAGAGTCCGCAAGGAGGTTGGCGAAGTCTCAGTCCTGGTCAATAATGCTGGTGTGGTCTCTGGGCATCACCTTCTGGAATGTCCTGATGAGCTCATTGAGAGAACCATGATGGTCAATTGCCATGCACATTTCTGGGTAAATATAAACATCCTTGTTTTCTTTGCTGGGCCCTCCTCAATGAGAAGGTTGGGAAGGAGAGAGACTTCAGTGCCAGCCTGAAAGGAACCTGTACTCTTTCATCGCGAGATCTCCTTAGCTCTTACCTATGGTAAACTGCAGTGTATGCTGGTTACTATTAGTCGTTTTGTCCCCCCCCCACCCTCACCCCCCAACTCAGTATTTTTGAGAAGGCAGAGGATTGAACATTTTAAACTAGTTTGAAAGATTGCCATAAAAATAACAAGAGGGAGCGTAAAACCCTGGGTTTGTTTATTTTACTTTCTGTTGAGTTTATAAAACATTGGTTGTTCTTATGAATTCCTAAAGTCAGGATTTAGGCTTCCAAATTACTGCTCAGCCACATTTTGGAAAGTGCCAAAGATTCTGAAATCAACATTTGTGCTCTGTTGGGAGTGGCCAGGCCACCCTGGCAGTCACTTCGCATCCCCTGACCATCCACAGGGTCCAGGGCATCTTCCTGTTGGAGGACGCCTCAGGACTCTCTTGGGTTAGACAGTGCCTCGCAAATATCACCCTGATAGGACCCTAGAGAGGGAAGTGAGGTAGTGAAACCTGGTAAGCTGGGGATTTAAACGATGTCCACTTCTCACCATTAAACAATGTCAGGATCTACGGAGCGGGGCAGGGCCTTCTGCTGCTCTAGGGGCAAAGGTAACCCCAGTTTTTCAGTTCAACTTGTCTTCAGTAAAAGTAGATGTGACTCTCTCCCCTATAACTGCACACTGCTGATCCACTTTATGCTCTTTTTCCTCACAGTATTTTCCCTTTACTTTTGTAGACAAATAAGATTCAATAAAGAAGGAGTAAAGAAATAGGATTCTACTTTTTTTTTCCATAGGCGGATTAGCCTTCTAATAGAACACAACAAAGAACTGTTTCTCCTAAATAGGTCACATTAAACCTCATTAATTTTTTAGCAACTGCTTAAAAACTGAATCTGGCTTTAGAGGTACTTATTCAAATGTTGCACCTCAAACATCAAACTTTTTCTCTGCTCTTGGAGAAGCTTATTTTGATGTTTTATTTTTAAACATGAACTTTATTTATTTATTTATTTATTTATTTATTTATTTATTGAGATGGAGTCTCTCTCTGTTGCCCAGGTTAGAGTGCAGTGGCGCGATCTTGGCTCACTGCAACCTCTGCCTCCCAAGTTCAAGCAATTCTCCTGCCTCAGCCTCTCAAGTAGCTGGGTCTACAGGCACATGCCGCCACACCTGGCTAATTTTTTGTATTTTAGTAGAGATGGGGTTTCATAGTGTTGCCCAAGCTGGTCGTGAACTCCTGAGCTCACGCAATCCACCCACCTCAGCCTCCCAAAGTGCTGGGATTACAGGCGTGAGCCACTGCACCTGGCCTATTTATTTATTTTGAGATGGAATTTTGCTCTTGTTGCCCAGGCTGGAGTCCAATGGCGTGATCTCAACTCACTGCAACCTCTACCTCCCGGGTTCAAGCAGTTCTCCTGTCTCAGTCTCCCGAGGAGCTGGGATTGCAGGCATGCGCCACCACGCCTGGCTAATTTTGTATTTTTAGTAGAGGTGGGGTTTCACCACGTTGATCAGGCTGGTCGTGAACTCCTGAACTCAGGTGATCCACCTCAGCCTTCCAAAGTGCTGGGATTACAGGTGTAAGCCACTGCACCCGGCCAACATGAACTTTATTTAATTCATTTACAAACCTCTAGAAATGAATATATAAATGACCTGAGCTTATATATGTTTTGAACAAGTAAGGAGATCACCAAATACAGTTGGGGGAACTTCAGCTTGCCTGTAGATGTGTGTTGTGTTCAGTGGGGGTGGGGAACTGAATTAAAGTCCTGGCTGTGGCTGGGTCCCCAGGAACAGGCAGCAGGTGTCAAAGGGATGGGTTAGATGAATAAAAGGCAGTCCAACCAAATAAACTTGACATAGACTTTATCAAGAATCTTGTGTGTTTATGACTACTCCTGAGTAAAACAACTACCATTTGAAATAAAAGACATACATAAGTGGGAGGCGGAGTGTCATTTTCCTATTTGAAGAATGATAAAGATGAAGCTGCCATAAAAACTGCAGTTGATTTAAGTCAGCCCTAAACAAGTTACAGCACTATCAGTAGGTTCATTATGAACCGCAGACACTGACTGGGATTGTTTTCTCCAATCATCTTTGACTAAGATGATACAAGATTACATAACTGTAAACTTTTACCTACACAAGGTATTCTAAAGTTTAGTCATCTTGCCTACTTTCTCTGCATGATTATTTTGCTTAATTGTAAAATTTCAAATGTAATCATGTTTTTAAGAAACCCCATGCAATCTGCAGTTAAATATTTAAAACAAGAAACCAGCTTCAGGAATACATCCAATAAAATGAGTGCTAATTTAATGTGTGTAAAGCACGGAAAATTTCATAGCCTTAGCTTTGAAAATGCACATAAATTGATATACTGTCTTTCTAATATTAGGCTACTTTTTAACATAAGGAGGAAGTCAAATCAAATCTCTAAATAGGAAAATCATTCTGGACCTGAATCTGTATACCAGGGAGGAGCATAGCACCTTCCTAGAGTCATCACTGTGCTTTGAGATGTTGCTTAACCACACAATTTAGGGAGTTCTTGGAAGCCTTGATGGTAATGACATCATTTTGTATTAAAGTATGGGAGGCTCCTGAATTCTCCAGCTGTTTTTCCCCTAAGCATCTAAACTTAAGAATTTATTTTCAATATTGAGTCAGAAAATTCATTTTAGAGTTGGAATTTCTGACTTCTTGCTGAAATTTACAAATCTTTTGAGAAGTTCTGATTCAGCAACCAAAATTTAAAGGAAAACTCAGTGTAATTTTTACAGTGAATTTTTTAACAGGGGTTAAAGAACGTCGCAAGAGCCACCTGAATTCAGCTTCCCTTCCAGTAGTCGTCTTAGGCGAAGCATTGGTGGCAACTTTTCAAACATGTTGACATTGGCATGTGCTGTTTTCCTTCCAGAAAAAATAATGAGTGTGTCTTTTTACTGTATCTGGGTGCGGAAGTTACCCCATACATTTTTAAAAGTCCATCAGCTTAGAAAAGAACTGTTCAGTCATTTGAACAGATCATCCTGAGCCAGACGTTTAAGTAACAGTTAATATCTGTTTTCATAAATAACAAATAGTATTTTGATCCTGACTCAGAGCAAAAGTGAGTGAAATAGAAAACCATGTGGACTTTCACTGAAAAGCTGTGGGTACTCCCAAACCAGTCCACATACTATTCCCCCTACCTGAAACACCCTCTTCCTCCATTCCACGTGTCTTAAGGTGTAGCTCAAGTCTCAATATAACCTTTCCTCCCCACTGCAGCACTTCTGGCCTTTTCGGATATTAGAGTTGCAAGAATCCAGAGACCTTCTTGTTCAACCCTTTGTTTTCCAGTGAAGCAGGGGTTAAATGACTCATCTAAGGTTTTTCTTTCCTTTCCATTAATCTCTCACAGCATTTGTTATCATTCTCTCAAAGTAGATGGCAAGCTGTCTGAAGGCAGTTTGTTATATACATCTTTCATCTTCCTCTGCCTGGAACAAAACTCTATTCTTAAGTCACTCAATAAATATTTGATAATAATAGGCTTAAATATTTAGAAGATAACCTATTCAGAGAATACTCACATGGATCTATGTTCTGAAGTTTTAAAAGGTAAGCATTATGGGACGGGCGCAGTGGCTCACACCTGTAATCCCAGCACTTTAGGAGGCCAAGACAGGCGGATCACTTGATGTCAGGAGTTCGAGACCAGCCTGGTCAACATGGAGAAACCCTGTCTCTACTAAAAATACAAAAAAATTAGCTGGGCGTGGTGGTGTTAGCCTGTAATCCCAGCTACTCAGGAGGCTGAGGCAGGAGAATTGTTTGAACCTGGGAGGCCAAGGTTGCAGTGAGCAGACATGGTGCCACTGCACTCCAGCCTGGGTGACCGAACAATACTCCATCTCAAAAAAAGAAAGGAAAAGGTGAGCACTGTGTTGGACTAAAGCTGTGTGAGACCATTATTGCAAAACAGGGCTGTCTCACCCTTGTTATCACTTACATTTTCTTTTGCTTTCCTACATAACTTTCCATTCTTCCTGTCCCACATGTGTTCTGATTTTTACTATTTTGTGTTAGAACTCTGCTCATTGGTGTGAGGATAGTGACTTGAGAAGGCTGGTGTTGGTATGCCTATTTGAATCAAGCTCACATTGAATGTGTAACAGCCATTCTTATTTACCAATGATCGGTCCTCAAAAAGAGGATCCCCATAGCAATTCTTTCCTTCCCTCTTAACCATGTACCATTTCTATACCCTTTGGAAGCCTTTCCTCAGCCTGGCATAATTCTGTACAGCCTTCCAGTCTGCTGTGACACTTCATCTTCCAATGTTGTTCCATTATCAGTAGCTCTCCTAGGAACCTTCTCCTGGTCACCAGTCAAGACTTAGTGATAGATTTGGGGTAGGTTCAAGTCAGCATAATCTACTGTGAAACACCCGGTACAAGACCATGGAAAATGAATGCACTATCATGCACTTTAACACTAGCAAAGAAATTATTCATGTGGGCTGTCTGTATCTGGGTGAGATGCAAAAACTTGAAAGATACCTCTCTTGGTCAGGGTTCAGTGACTCAAGCCTGTAATCCCAACACTTTGGAAGGCCAAGGAGGGTGGATTGCTTGAACCCAGGAGTTCAAGACCAGGGTTGGCAACATGGTGAAACCCTGTCTCTACCAAAATACAAAAATTAGCTGGGCGTGGTGGCACGTACCTGTAGTCCCAGCTCCTCAGGAGGCTGAGGTAGGAGGATGGCTTGAGCCCAGGGGTCGTAGACTGCAGTGAGCTGAGATCGCAACACTGCACTCCATCTTGGGTGACGAGAACCAGACTCTGTCTCAAGAAAAGGAAAAGAAAAATACCCCTCTGTACTCTACTTTGAAATATGGAAAGTTGGTCTCC